TATGATCTTGTCTGCCTCCCTTCATTCCTGCCTGTTTTCAGAGCCTGTTCTGAATACTTCCTGTTTTCTTCCAATAAATCAATTTTCTGCTTAAGCCAACCAGATCTATTCTGTTGCTTGCAGTCAAAAACCTTGACTGATATAAGAGCAGAGTGGATCATCTCTTCCTGGCCTGTCACAGTGCTTGGACTCTCTCCTTTGGGATCCTAAAGTTTTTCTACTAAAATGCAACATAAAACCTTGTCAGCTATTGCTGTCTTAGGAATTAATTTATCAAATCTGTCATAGAGACTATTAATTGTAGCCTTGTGTCCATTTTTTCCTTCTTTCTTTTTGTTTTAAAAATGTGGCATAATGGGGCCTGCCCGGTGGTGCACTGCTACAGTGCGCCGCTTGGGAAGCACGGCAGCGCTCCCAACGAGGGTTCGGATCCCACATACAGACCGGCCGCTTACTGAAGGTTGCGATCCATTGCCGGTCACGAAAAAAGACAAAAAGGAAAAAAAAAAAATGTGGCATAATTAACATACAATAAAATGCACAGATCCTAAATGTTCAGTTTCATGATTTTAGAAAACTCTACATAAACCTAGGTAACCTCCACCAAAAACAATATATAGAATATGTCTATCATCCGAAAAATTGTGCCTTCATTCCTCTTTTCTTGGCAATCCCTCCCCACACCAGAGGCAACCATTTTCAGATCACTATCATCATAGATTAGTTTTGCCTGTTCTAGAACTTCATTTAAAGGGAATCACACAACATGCACTCTTTTATGTCTCAGTTTTTTTGCTTAACATATGTTTTTAATATTTATCCCTATGTTTGTAGGGCTGCATTGTGACTTCTGTGGGCCCTAACCACTTTAAGGGGCCCTTCTTTCATTAAAAAAATCTCCCACTGGGTTTGTTATTTTCCACCTGTGACTGTGCTGTGTTCAGATGTTCTGTCCATGGTCACTAGCCAAATATATATATATATATATATGTGTGTGTGTAAATATATATGTGTGTGTGTGTGTGTGTGTGTATGTGTGTGTGTATAAATTACATCTTAACTATGTTGCTATAAAGATGAATATATCAATATTATATAATAAAACATTTTCTTCAACCTGAAAGTTCATTTTCATGGGCCCCAGAACTGTGCCTACTGAGCCTACTGTGCCAAATGGTAAGTCAGCTCTGGTTGTTTCAGGTATCAGTAGTTCATTCTTTTATATTGCTGAGTAACTTTCCAGTATTCCAGTATGAATATCCCACGATGTGTCTGAACATTCTCCTGTTGATGGACATTTGGTTTGTTTCCATTTTGGTGCTATTGTGAATGAGGCTTCTTTCTGTGAACATTCTTGTACCAGTCTTTCTGTGGACATATGTTTTCAGTACTCATAGGTAAATATCTAGGAAGAGGAATAACCAAAGAGTTCTCTAAGGTGGATGTACCATTTTATACTCCCACCCACTTGGTATCATCAATCTTTTTAATTTTAGCCATTCAGTGATCAGTGGCTCTTTTTCTTCCTTTTACCAATAGAGATTGAGTTTTATTAGAATCCATGGCTGCTCATTTAGATTCTGTATTTCCCAGCATCATTTGCAAGCCAGTGTGACCATGTGACAATGATTTAGCTAATGAGGCGCAAGCAGAGGTAATACAAGGGGTCTTCAAAAAGTTCATGGAAAATGCATATTATGGAAAAACTATGCATGGGTTTCAAAAATTTTTTGCATTAAAATAAATTTGTACTAACTTGTTATAACATGTCTGAACAGGATCTTGTCTGAGGCACTAAGAAGGATAAGACATCAGTATGAAAAGAGCCCCTGTCAGAGCACCATGAATTGTGCTAAAATTAGAGCAAGAACAGCATCAGATTTATTGTGAAGCTTGGGTAGAAGAAAGGTGAAATCCTTGATGCTTCACAAAAGTTTATGGAGATAATGCCCCAAAGAAATCAGCAGTTTTACAAATAGATAACTCGTTTTAAGAAGGGACAAGATGATGGTGAAGATGAAGGCCACAGCAGCAGACCATCCACATTAATTTGCAAGGAAAAAACTAATTTTGTGCATGCCCTAATTGAAGAGGACCGATAGTAGAAACAATAGGCAACACCACAGACATCTCAGTTGGCTCAGCTTACACAATTCTGACTGAAAAATTACAGTTGAGCAGACTTTCTGATTGAGTGCCAAAACTGTTGCACCCAGATCAGCATAGAGCTTTCCATGGGAATTTTAAATAAGTGGGATCAAGATTCTGAAGCATTATAATACCATAAGGTTTATATCCCTGTACCGGCCAGCTGCCAAACAAACAAACAAAAGAAGAATCTGAAGCATTTCTTTGAAGAATTGTAGCAGGAGATGAAACATACCTTTACCAGTATGATCCTGAAGACAAAGCACAAGCTTCAAGGAACATGCTAACTTGCGTAAAGATGGTGAATATTGTAGAGACACACATAACATGTAATAGAGACAAAAGTCTCAGTTTTTTTGCTTAACATATGTTTTTAATATTTATCCCTATGTTTGTAGGGCTGCATTGTGACTTCTGTGGGCCCTAACCACTTTAAGGGGCCCTTCTTTCATTAAAAAAATCTCCCACTGGGTTTGTTATTTTCCACCTGTGACTGTGCTGTGTTCAGATGTTCTGTCCATGGTCACTAGCCAAATATATATATATATGTGTGTGTGTGTGTGTGTGTGTATGTGTGTGTGTATAAATTACATCTTAACTATGTTGCTATAAAGATGAATATATCAATATTATATAATAAAACATTTTCTTCAACCTGAAAGTTCATTTTCATGGGCCCCAGAACTGTGCCTACTGAGCCTACTGTGCCAAATGGTAAGTCAGCTCTGGTTGTTTCAGGTATCAGTAGTTCATTCTTTTATATTGCTGAGTAACTTTCCAGTATTCCAGTATGAATATCCCACGATGTGTCTGAACATTCTCCTGTTGATGGACATTTGGTTTGTTTCCATTTTGGTGCTATTGTGAATGAGGCTTCTTTCTGTGAACATTCTTGT